AAAATAAATCAGACCTCATTCGTGTGTGGCGAGAAAAAATTAAGCAAAATGATATAAAAATCGATATAAGAAAAAAGTCTTCCAATGTGACGAAAAAAGTAAAATGCTATACATATTGCGAATAGGGTTTCTGTCCCAACTCTCTCAGAAATATACTACTCAAAATCAAGGTACAAAAAAAAATAAAATAAAATAAAAAGCTTTAAATTATAATGAAGCAACTAAGAGAAATTGTTTCCCAGGTATAGGAATGCTTGAATTAAAATTTTTGCTCATATATCATTCATGTGAACAAAGGTACAAATATTTTTTTCACACTTAGAAATTTATTACATTATTTCAAGACTTTGATTAAACTTAAATAAAATATTATTTTTTTAAATAAATTTTCATTTATTATTTTTTCTGATGTTTATAAAAAGTTAATAAAAAAATATTATCTTTATTTGTAATAAAAAATATAATATTTATCTGTAATAAAAATGATCATATATATTATATGTAAAAAGAATAATTGATAAAAAATTTGATCAAAGATTTTTTTTAATTATATCATCTTCCATTTCAATCAGCTCTTCAACACCAGACATGCTATGAACAATATCTTGAGATGTATCTTCTAATTTTGAAAATTTTTAAGAGCCATATTTTTAATACTGGAAATTTTTGATAAAGAAAATTTAATAGTTGCATTTCCATTAACACAAAGAATTTCTTATGTAAAAGTCAGTAAAGAAACAGTTTATTTTAATATTTATGGATCTCCACAATGTAAATAGTTTCCATTACAAAATGCATTTGCTTTGACTGTGCATAAAATACAAGGATTGACATTACCTCATTTAACAGTTTCAATTGATGAATCCATTTTTGCTACTGGTCAAGCATATGTTGCTTTGAGTCATTCACCATCATGGGAATCATTAAATATTACACCATTTGATTTATCTGCAATTAAAGTGGATGCAAATGTTAGTTGAATATACAAGACTGAAAGATATTTTTGATAAAAGAATTGTGAATATAGGCAAAGAATTAGTGGAATTCATGAATAATAATTTTAAATTTTGAATTAATATCAAATAGTTTATTTATTATTTATATTTATTAAAAATAAAAATCATCTATTATAATTCGGTATTGTGATAAATTTAGCAAATATTCAAAATCATCTATATATATAAGTAAAAATTGCATTAGTAAATAAGTTCAAATAACATATTTTATATAGAAATATTTAGTTTAGAATTCTATTTTTTCCAAAAAAAAATATCATAAAACAAGCTCCCCGACCTTGTTCATGACCGCTTGTTTATTAAATAGAAATAAAATAAAATAATTGAATGTCTGCGCAAATTTGAGTGAGAGGTAAATTCTTCAATAGCTAAAGAAGTGATGTCATGATTAATTTGTTATCAAGAACTTATCAAACAAAAATTCTGAAATATTTAAAAACTAGTATTAAAAATGAATACTATTCAACATACAAAGAACATGGTTGGCTTGCCAAAAAACAATTGCTACGATTATAAACAAAGGGATTTGTTTATTATATAAATAATTTCAGTGATCAATAAATTTAAAATTTAATCGATAAATTAATATAAAAACAATTGAAAAACTGCTCTTAATTCCAAATTAAAGTTATTTGTTTCTAATTCCTCGCTGATTTCATTAATATTAACTGAATTAGAATCTATAAATTAATTTAAGATTATTAATTTATTATCAGATTTAAAGTTGTTAAAAAATCAATATGTTACCTGGCCATTCTATAGTTAAATCATCTTCTCTAATATCTCTTGAAAGTAATTTTGCAGTATTGATATGTTTGCTTATTGTTCTACTTATATAATATGCTTCAGGATGCTGTGTTGATATTTCTAATTCTATATTATTTTCTATTTCTTCATTAGCCTTTTCGAAGATCCTATAGATTTCTTTATGCTTATAATAATACCTGTCAAAAAATTCAAATACTTCACTACTCGTTGGTCGTTTAGAGGGATCATTTTGCAAACATGATTTCATTAAATTTACATAAATTTCTGGGGTACCCTTCACGATCTCTGGACGAATACCTTTACAGATATCTATAATTAAATGCGCATATGACCAAATGGTGCCTTTCTCAATGTTAATTCTCGCATAATCATTCCAAAACTATAAACATCTGATGCAGGTGTAAATGGTTTTCACGTAATACTTCAGGTGCCAAATATGGAATTATTCCATAAATTTCATTTGATTTTGCTTCACAATTGGCTGGTTTACATAATCCAAGATCACGTAGATATGCTTCATATTTACCTTGCTACCTCGAGTATATCGTATATATAACACCAACTTAATGATTCACCTTTATGTCTTATGATGTGTCTTAAATCCCCTTTATCACAATATTGCATAATTAAAGCATATTCTTTCGTAATTGGATCTTGAGTTATACCATACATACGTATAATATGAAAAAACTTATTTTTTTGGTATGCTTTGATCTGTATTAAAATGTAAAATAATAAATTATCAAAAACCAAAATACAAATAAATTGTATAAGTAAATATTTCCCTCATCAATAAAATCTTTAGTGACATCTTGATAATTTTTTATTTTCTCATTGCTACAATCTTTGATGCAAACCTTATATTATAACCTTCCGACATATTTTTTCTAATTCGGTATAATCAATCCATCTCAAACATTTAAAATCCTCAGGTTTTGGTATTAATTGATCTTCTCGAATTAACTGGTCAATTTCATCATTTCCACTTGTCCATAATGAAAATGTATGAGTTATTTCTAGTGTTTTACAGTTTGGATACCATTTATATTCAATGATTATTTCTCCACAGTCATAACATTTGCCATAATCTGACATATTACAATGGATATAGCAGGGACCACGAAGATCTCTAGTTGATTGCCAGCAAGTATTACAATACTCTTTATGGATCATATCAAGATAGAAATCCAAATCCATTTTATATATTTGTGATTCAATATTTAGCAAAAATGATTTATAATATAAGGATTATTTGTAACATATGAATATTGCAATTTTTAAAAAAATTTAAGTTTAGGAAGTGAAGTGCGAAAATTTAAAAATTAAATCTAATGCTTTATAAATATTTATGACGGATAATAACGATTCAAAAAAAATAAAGTCGTAAGCTTTGAAAATGATACAAAGTAATTATTAACCGCATAATCACATTTCCAAAATAATAAAACAAATAATAAAACAAATAAAACAAGACAACAATTAACATTAGCAGAGAAATTTGATTTGATTATGTATTTGATGAATAATAATTATATGAATCAATTCTAATAAAATATTCAATACATAGTTATTAAATTTATTTCAGTATAAAGATTAAAGATAATTTGCTAACTTTACTTTGCTCTTCCATCTTCTTTATGTTGCTCTTTTAAAACCATCTCCCTTATCATCATTTAATTTTAATTAATTAATTAATTACTATTTCTTATCATTTCAATTATTACTTTTAGATTTTAACTTGAATTTTCATCATTATCATTTAATCATTATTATAATTATTACTTTAATTGAGATCCACCAGTCAACTAGAGAAATTTTTTAATTTTTTTGTAAATGTGGAGGGCTTTCATATAAACTTTTTTTTTGATTTTTATTAAAAGAATATAAAATATTTTTTAAAACGATTATGAGATATAAACTATTTATTTATTGATTTGATTTGATGTTTATTAAGCATGAAAATATGTAAAAAATTATTGAAGAACTTTTATTAACCAATAGTTATGCCGCAATAAAGCATATTTTTTATATAATTAAAGTATAAGCTAGAAAACTCGAAATCTGTACAAATACACTCTAAAATCTGCATTTTGATATTATTAAAAAATATTTACAATAATAATTATAAAATATATTGTGAAATTTAAATTTAAAGTAACAATTCAAAGAAAATTTATATTTTTTAAATAAAATTTTTAAAAATTGTATTCTTTTTAATTTTAAAGTTAATAATATTTTGAAAAATATTTATTATATATATAAGTTATTTGTTTTAAAATTATAAATTATTTGTTTTAAAATTATTATATAGAAAAATTTTTTAGCTTATTATGGCTTATTATGTTCGTTGACTCGTCAATTAATTAATTAATAGTTATTCTACATCAGTGTGACATTAGCTATCATCTCCAAGTATAAAAATATTTGTTCTAAATTGGAATTAATTTAGAAATTCGGAATGCAGATCAATAAAGAAGAACAATTTTATTTAAACAAAAATTATCCATTTAAATAAATTCAATTTCTTCAACCAAAAATACTGTAATTACAAAACATCTATAAATTTTATTTTAAATCTTGAATAAAAATGCCTATTAAATTTAATTTAATAACTTCGTTAAAAAAAAAAAATTTTTCAAATCTATTGAAAAAAAAAGTTTTGCAAATATGGATTTTCCTATTCTTGGCAATGGAACATCCAAATATCATATAAGCATGATATCAATTTCGGGATATAATTTCTGTTTTCATTTGTTTTACAAAGTGATCGTTCTTATTTACAAATAAATTATATTATTGTGAATGTACTATGACAAAACGATCGGCGTAACAAAATAACGATACGAATTTGTAGTTTTATACATAATGATTAAAAAAAATAAATAGTAATTTTCATCCGGAATCATAAAAAAAATTATTAATTAATACTGTATGTGCAAGCAAATTTATATGAATATTCCTTTTTAAAGATTTCAAAAAATTCAAGAGTAAGCAGAACAAAGCGAACAGGAAAAACAAGTAGGTTTACGGGAAATATGAGTGAATCATTAAACACTCCTTTTCTACTTTGTACTAAAAACGCAATAATTTTTATTATTCTTGTCAATAGCACTTCACTGTAGTAAATCAACATCACCATGCAATATTCTATTATCTCTCGTATCATCATCTTTTTCATATTTGTTCACATAACTCAAGGTAAAACTCAAACATGTATAGAAAAATATTTTGATTTTCTGTTCTAATTACTTTATCTATAAACAATGCTTAGCATACAAAACTACACTTCTGGGTACTTTTACATCAATCTGTCACGTATATGTAACAGATTGTAATGGAAAAATTATAAGAGATGCTGGAAGGAAAGATTGTAATAAAAACAGAGTATTTACTTGGGATGACGTCCCCTCAGGTTACTATTGCCTTCATGTGTATCCTATTACAGATCCCAAGGATAATCGTTATGGTAGTGCATATAATGAAGATTCATGCTTTCAAGTCTATGGCAACCTCTTAAAGCATTGGAGTTTTGATCGCGTGGAATTGTCTTACTGCCAATAATTTGCTACGCACAATAAGTGAGATCAATTATTAATATTTTAAAATATGTATGGTTTTAGCAGACATAATGATTTGAGAAATTATAAATTTTTATATTATCCTATTTTTTTATTATGTGTAATTGTTCCTGAAAATGATGAGCCATTCAAGATGGGTTAAAAAAAATTATTGAAGAAGAAACTGAACCACAAGTACCTATTCAAGATATATCAAGTGGATGAGATGATAACCCTGATGAAACAGACGAAAAGTTTCATATAAGAAAAGAATAGTATAAAATTGATATACAATGATAGTTCAAAGTAAAATGAATTATTTAATTTTTGAGGATGTAATGAAATTTATCATGAATACAAATTTATGTAATTATTAAAATATATAATTATTTACTTTATATATAAAAGTTTTGTTTTTCAACGCACCTTCATGGATTGCGTACGGACATGATTTTATTGGTCGAAATTTGTGTCTAATTTGCGGCTTAATTTAAATTGTTTTTTTTTATTTATAGGTTTTATAAGCTAAAATTTTTCTCCACATAATAATTTTTAAAACTAATAATCTATATAAATAGAGTATGGTACAGAAAGTCTAAAGACATCAAGCAGCTGAAATTTTCTGTTAATATGTCATATGATTTATTATATAAATGCTTGTCAAATACAAAAAATTTATATGGATTCAAAAATTTTGAACAAAAAAAAAAAAAGAAAACTTAAAAATTTAAAATAAGTTAATATTACATTTTATTTAAAATACTTGTTAAGATATATCATTACTGAATTCAAATTATATATGTTATATGAAAAATCTGAGCAATCTGAAAGAATTATTTACCGCTGAAAATTTTAGGTTCAATATAAAAAAAAAACCTTTGTTTAAACACCAACTACACAATATATTATTATTAATTATGGTAAAAAAATACATTAAATTGTAGAGCTAATCTATCATATAATGTATTTATTTTTTTAATTCTATATTTGGATGCAAAGTTTTATTAATTTAAAATAAGTGATAAATATTTGATGCCTTTAGACTTTCTGCACCATATACATGCTTTAATAGTAACGCAATAAATTTTAACTAATTAAGAGAAGTTTTTTTTGAGAATATTAATTGTTAAATTTTTTTTAAAATTTTTTAGTTTAAATTTAAATTTCGTAAAATTTTTATTATTATATAAATATTTTTTAATATATATTTTATTAGTACATATTTTGTGATGCATTGCATTTCAGCATACTTTTTATACAATTAAAGCTATTTAACAATTTCACGAAATTTTTTATTTAATAAATATTAATTTAGGTTAAGAAACGAATTATTAAAATTAAACTCCAAACCTACGTCGGTTTAAAATTCAAATTTAAATTTTCTCCGCCCATCACCGTCAAATTTAAATCAGTTATTATTTTTTTTGTTTTGTACTATGACAATAAATGGTAATAAATGCTATTGTTAAGATTTCCTTTTTTGAATTTCGGTACCAATTCCGCCCCAAGTATAAAAATACTAACTTGAAGGCCTATTATTGAATTATTTAAATATATTCTTTTTTTTCCTTTTTTTTTTGATTTCAAGGGAAATGGGAAAAGTGGTTTCAAAAACCAAGTACATTAATTGTCCTGATCTCTTATTTGGAACTTGTTCTCATTATTTTTTAGGGTTCTTATTCGCGCCTAGATATTAACTTTTGAGTACCTAATACTCGATCCGATATATTTATTTTTATTATTTATATCATTTGAGTGATTTAATTACATTTGTAAACTTAATAACTTTTATTTTTTGAGTCAAATATCAACGAATTATAATTATTTTTTTTTTAAATGTACGAGGAAAATAAAATTAATTAATTGATTAATTAATTGACTAAAAAGTCGAGAAGTACAAATACATATAATGTTTCCAGGAAAGAAATATTAATTGACTAAAAAAAGTTGAGTACAAATACAATATAATGTTTACAGGAAAGAAATAATAGAAATTCGAAAAATATTTATTTATAAACAGTAAAAGGAACTGGAGTTGTTCCATTGTAAGGTCCATTGATAATTTGCAAATATGGTTTATAGTTAATACCAGGTTTGGCCCACTTGGGATCAAGTAAAAAGTATTGTAACGTAGGATCGGAAAAAAATGGAACCTAATAATATTTTAAAATTTTAATATTGATGAATTAAATAATTGAAAATTTCCAAAAATATAAATTATGTCAGATAATTACCACTCCTAATTCTTTTGCGGGTTTGGAAGTGTCAGTATTTACAACAGTTATTTTTACCAATGAACCTTGGCCTAAAAATAAAAAATTAATGGTTGAAGGTAAAAAAAAAAAAAAATTATTGAAGCGGATATGAATATGTTAAAAAAAAACAAAAATTTACCAGGTTGTGGGCCATCATAAATATGTGTATCCCATGAAACAGCTTGTGTTGATTTCAATTTCCAAGGTCCCGGTCCGGGGGAAAATACTTTAATATCATATGCATTAGCTACGATAAAGAACAATAACACCAAGAAGAAAATTGCTGAGGATTTCGTCATATTTTTTTCGAATTACAAAAGAGATATTTAAATTTCTTTGAAATTGAGTTGAAAGAGATGAAAATTCGTGTTATTTATATAAGAAATATTTTCTCATGTTCATGAGGCGCAAGGTTGATATGCGAAAGTTTTTTTTAGAACTTTCGATATTTTTAAACCCTGAATTCAACCAAAAAAAAATTAGGACAAAAATTTTCTTTAGAACTTTCGATATTTTTAACTCTGACTCTAAATTCAACCAAAAAAAAGACTAGGACAAAAAAATTTTCTTTGGTATCATTTTGCAGTATTGAGGTAAGTAATCTTTGAAAAATTCATTCTAATTAACGCCATCTCAAGATTTAATTTGGTTTTCTTTACTGTACCGTTTAATATATAAGGTTAAATTTAATAATTCACCATTGTAATATTAATTTTTCTTAATTTAGGAAATGCAATTATAACGTGTACATTGTTTGAAAAATATCAGATTATTGATTAATATAAAATTCATTTTCGTAATTAAGTATGGCTAATCGCATTCTTATCTCTAATCATTGTTCATCACAAAAAAAAAAGAAAGAAAGATTTCTTCGGAAAAAAGCTCATCCGAAGAATCGTCGTTTAATATAGTATTGCAAATCGCAAATCAATTAATACTTTTGAATTTCATTCTATAAGAAAATGAATCAAAGGTTTTAATACTTGCCAAATTTATTTGTTTTTTATTGTTATTTTCGCAATGACGTTATTGAAATTCGTAATCATTATTCGTAATTATCAATTTTCAGATTTAAAATAATACAATAAAATCATTTCAAAGTCTTAAAGTTCTATTATTATTAAAATGAGAGCCAGAGAATATTTAAAAAAATAATCTGAAAATTCGTGTAGTAATCCAAAATTATTTGTAAATGAATTTTTTATTTAAGTCATTGACTTGTTGAAATATTAATAATAATAAATTTTGACAAAAAAAGAATATTCAATATTACTATTAAAAATTGGGTAAAAATGGTAAAATTCAGAGTAAATTTAGAGATTTATGAATAATAAAATATTATCATAAGCAAATAATGTACTTTTTTATTTAAAAAAAAATACAATTGAGATAATAAAAAGACATGTTCTTCAAGCAGTAAGAATTTTTAAGGATGAATTAATTTAGTATATGCGCAGTTAAGTCATTTGAATAATAAAAGTGGTGGTAATGGAAATTTTCAGATTTGTTGTTTTCTCCAATCGAGGGGATTATACTCACCTAAAATATCTTCCACTTTTAAACTATAACTGTGTTAGAGACTTTGCCACATCAGACCCATCTCTAACAAGTAATTTTAATTCTTAAGGATTATTTTCAATATATAGGCTTCTTTTTCATCATCAATCCGTGATGTTAATGGGTAAAGGAATTGATGTATAAGTTTGAAGATGTTCAACTAATTCATCTAGTTGAAGTAATTAAAAAATTAAAAAATAATAAAAATCATAAAGTTTTCTAAATTTTTCAATGAAATAAATTATTATTTTATTTTATCAATTTGATAATTATGTTAAGTACTTTGATAAAAAAAATATTAGTATGACATAGTCGTCGTCATTAAGGAGTTTCGTTAATTTCGTTGAATTTATTTTTTAAAAGTAAGGACATCAGTAGAATGAACTTTAAAAATTCGATTATCAAGTGTTTCGCCATTTTTTATTTATAAAAACTGTAACGTTATAATCAGTTCAATAAGGTCGTTTGATAAACGGTCAAAAATTTATTAGTCATTTTTCTTTAAATTATAAACGATAAAATTAAAAATTAGTACATATTTGATTGTTTTTTTATGTCAAAAAAAAAATATAAGGACGGAATATATAAATATAATAAGATTTAGTTCTATTTATAAAAAATTATTAAAAATCATTTCTTTTCGAAATTTGAAAAATCTCATATTCTTCAAAATTAAATGTAGATTTATCAGAAGGTGGACAAAGAGCCAAACCCAAAAAACTCAGCAGAACGAATTTGTTTGTCAAAGCTGCAACCATTTATTCGGCAATAGCTTCTTTTACTAGTTTTCAAATTATACCTTAACACTAACGTATTACCAAATGAAAAGTATGAATCACGCGAATAAAAACCAATTCAATAATTATAATTCTTCACTCTACTTTAAAATGAAATTTTTCAGATTTGTAGCTTTCAACGAAAATGCAAAACTGTCACGAGTAGGATTTCTACCATTCGTTTCTTTAGTCCATTGAAGGGGATTATACCCTCCCAGAATTTCTCCTGTACCTTCAACTTTTAAAATAATAACTGTATTAGCTATTTTATCAAAAATATTATAAATATTTTTAACCTCAAATCCATCTCTAGATCCTCTAACAAGTAATTCAAAGTCATATGGATTATTTTCAATATAAGGTGATTCTTTTTTATCAATCCAAGATGAAATTTCGAGTGCATGATCATTAGTGAAATTATGTGACAAAAGGAATTGATGAATTTCTAAGTGGAAGTTTTGTATTTAAGATCCTACGAGGTGGTAACATAATCGAAGAAATCGGCTTGGTTGGTGTGATAAATTTAGTACTAATATCTAAAAAAAGTTGTTGTTCAAAAAGTTGTTAATATGGATAAATCTTTTCAATAACATCAACTCCAGAAATGTTAAAATATCTAATGTGTAGAAGACATCCTTTTAAAGTTTCCTTTAAGGTTAAGAAATTATCATTTGTCCATTCTTTGATATTAGACGGTAAGGTAGAATTTTTATCTTTACCCATTGAATTAAATATTCCAAAATTTTACTTTCTTCTAATTGTAAATCATCACTTTTAAGAATAGATATTAATGCATCTTCAGGGATGGAATGAAAATATTCAGATTAAAAGATAGTATTAGGATGTTTGACAATAATATCATTACAAAATCCCAGAATAATTTTGAATTGATAACATGATCGATAAACTGTTGTAAAATTTAGTCTTAACCATGAAGAATTGTTAATGACTTGATAAATTTGAAGACATTCAACTAATTCATCCAGTTTAAGTTCATCTGAAACAATTAAAAGATCAAAAATATCCGAAATTTTCTAATTTTTCCAAGGAAATTATCCCACCGTAGATGTATCTAAATTACATAAAAAATATTATTATTAAAAATTATTATTTCTTATTAAGGTTCAATTTTTAAAAATAATGACAAATTTAAGTGATTATGCATATTACTTAATAATAATGTTGAACATTTTAATTGAAATATTAGGTATCGTTAATTGTTTGACATGATAGTCATTAAAAGGAGTTTCGTCGAATTTCTTTTTAAGGACTATGGGATTGTAAAATATAAGAGTGAACTTTAAAAATTTGATTATCTGGAGCTTCATCAACTTCAATTGTGACATTATAATCAATAGGGTCTTCAAGTACGTGAATAAGATTATTTGATAAACGGTCAAAAAATTTGGTAGTCATTTTTTCTGAATTAAAAATCATTAAACATTAAAAATTGATTATAAATGCATACACCATATGACCAATATTGTGAATCAGAAATTTTTATATTATTAGAATTGTGATTTTGGAATCCTATTAATAGCGTATGTCCTACGATACAAAAAGACATCATTAAAACTTTGATATGATTTTCATTGAAAGGAGTTTCGTTGAATTTTATTTTTAAAGTAAGGATGAAATTAAAAATTTTGATCATCAAGAGTTTCGCCAATTTCAATTGTAACACAATCATCAAGAAGTCAGAATCGAAAAAATCAAAATTAGTACGTACATAAGCGGGGGCGGGCTTAGACCCAGGATCATCAAAAAATTTTTGCTTATTATATTCTTTTTAAAGAGGAAAAAAAAGTAGGATTTTTTTAACTTGTCTAAATAAATCAGATTATTTTTTTTTAAAGGAAATTTTTAGAATTATGAACCGATTATTAGATCGATCGTGGTAGATCTCTAAAATTTTTTCCCACATTATTATAGTATGAAGACGTTTAACCAGGTTCAAAGATTCAGTGAGATTAGATTTTACTCCTTTGAGTGATATTTTTCTGGTTTGGTTCGTATTAATTACTTTATCGGGTTATCAAACGAACACGGACGGGTTTATTGTGTATAAACAAATTGAACTTTCATATTTTGCGTATTCTTCAAGTGATCTTGCAACAATTGAAACAATGCGAATATTTTATCGTTGTCAGTTTAAATATTTCGTCCGCATCCATATAAACAACGAGTACTCGGAATAAAAATATTGACAATGGGTAATGATTTACGAGATATACTTGAACGAAGTCCATTAAAACTTTCGAATGAAGGCGAACAAAACTGAAAAAAGAAAGAAGACTGATTTGTATATTTTTAATCTGTGATCTGTTAAGAACAATGCTAAGATCTCAAGATCATTGTTAAGATCAATATTAAGATTTTATTGTATTGTTTAAAATATAATGTATTTAATGAATTTAATCAAGAGAAAAAAATAAATAACTAATATTTTATTATTTTTATTATTTTAAAATTTAATCTTTTATAATCATCATAATTAGATGTTATGTTGCTTAGAACTCTTTCTTTCGATTATCGACAGCTTTTTGTTAAACCAGCCCATCTTATAAACCCAAACTCATGATAATAATAATGATACATGTAATTGAATACGTTTTCATTTGTAATAAATATTATAAGATTATTATAAATAAATTTTAATAATTTAAGAGTTGCATTTTTTTATAAATAAGGTAAAACAAATCAATGATTTTGTAATTTTATTATATCAATAAAGCCCAATTTAAAATGATGTAAATAAGAATTAAATCAACTCGGTAAAAAAATAATAGAAAAGTTCATTTTAATTTTTGATGGAATCATAAGTGTAAATTTACATTTGTAATAATCAATTCAATATAATCAATATTCTTAATTCCTTTATAGAATTATTAAACTATGAAAGAGTCTTTGAATTTAAAAATTATAGAACTTATACCTAGATAAGTATCGCTTTAATATTTTATGTTTTAAATTTAGTAATATTTAAATTTTTTTAAAAATTAATAAAATTGATAACAGTATTCCAAAATCATTAAAATAGAATTCCATGTAACAGATGATTTATTGTATTTACATCCAACAAAAATTTTATTGTAAAATAAGTAAATATTCTACAAAAAAAAAAACAAATAAATTCAATACATAAATAATTTTTAACTCATAAATATTATCTTCGAATTCATTTTTTTATAATTATTTCTTTTCTTCTTGATTCGAATTTTTTTTTTTCATTAACTCGATTTCCATCATCCTTTTTCTTTTTTTACATCCTTGCTATTTTATCATCTTGGTAACTAGAAGAATCTGTTTCAGTATCACTTAAATCAATTAAATCCCCAATTTCGTCATCATCATCATTATTATTATGATTATTATTAATATTATTAGAAATAAAATTCTGATTGTCACTATCAATTCCTTCACTTTCTGTATCCCAATTGCTTCTGTCACCGTCAGCATTTGACTCATCTGTTTCATAAAAATATTTGTATTCAATTGTTCCGTTCTTTCTTGAGCTTCCCACGTCAAAATTTTCATCTTCATCTTCACTTAACCAAAACAGTTTATCATCATTATATTCTTTTTTAATTTCATCTTGGTCAATAAAAAAATTTTTGGACGTCTCATCTAATTCACATTTCTGATCAAGAAGAAGATTTCTTGCTGTTTCACGCTTTTGATCAAGATCTTTAATTGTTTGTTCATTTATTTTAATTACTTGATCAGATATTTTAATAAATTCTTCCAACTTTTCTGAAGTTAATAAGGTGGATTTTTGTTTTTCAAAATTCTCAATTTTTTCCTTGAGATCATTATATTCTTTATAAAGTAGGTCATAATCTTCAACTAAATTTTTTTTAAGAAAAAATTATTAATAACATAATTTTAATTATAACAAATAAATAAATAAATTTATATGCAAAGTATCAAAAATAAAATAAAATAATAATCGTTGTTACCGAATAGAGCAAGGAGTTCGGTAGACATAGTTATAGTGCGAGTACCAAATTTACGAATTTTTGATAAACGAGCATAAACGGCCTTTCTTGCTTGACTTTCACTACCAGTCATGGTCAGAGTATACTGTAACTAACTTTAAACGTTCAATTCAGTAAATTGGTCTATTTTTGTGTTTGTAAAGTTGAAGACAATAATAATAAAAGCACACCAAGTTTAAAGATAATCACAAGCTCTGATCATTATCTAAAATATGATTTATTTCAATTTTGATTGGACAATGGTTTTTACTAATTTGTACATTTTACTTAATATAAAACTTTTTTTTTTAAAAGAACAATAATCATTAAATTATTTAAATCGTACAAAATTAAAATGAAAAAAATTGAAAATTTTACAGTAGTTGTACCCTATTCTTAAATTAAAAACTTTATCATGTAATAAGTATTCCCAAAAATCACATGTACTAACTGATGGTTCGTAGTAGTACGATTTATACTTGTACCAATATTTATAAGTTGCTAATTAGTCAGTCTTTGTAGTAATCTTACCAACTTTTAATGGTTAACAAAAAAAAAATGAAAGTATTTTATTCAGACGTTTGTTTAAAACATGCACCTCAAAATGAAATTTTATCAGGAAATTTTGTAGAATATCTTGGTACGTTTTTAAATTCAACAAATTATGACATATAATTTATATATATGTGTGTGTGTATATATGTCATAATTTATATATATATATATGTGTGTATATAAGATGTATAAATTATGTGTGCTTTATAAATTTATTTCTATAATAATATTCCATCTATTTAGAAAGTCCATCTCGGATAACATTAATTAAAGAACATTTAAGTCAATTTCCCGAAAAATTTGAAATTTGTTCACATTTGGATTATGGAATTGAACCAATTTTATCAATTCATGATAATGATTATATTGAATATTTAAAAACTGCTTATATTGAATGGTGTAAAGCTGGAGGTGATAAAAAAGGGGTAATACCTGAAGCATTTTTTCATAAAGGAATTTTAGATTCTAGTAAAATGAATCTTAAAAATATTAAATCTCCCTTTGCAAAAGCTGGATTATATTGTTTTGATTTATCTTGTTGTATTACTGAAGGTAAAAAAGAATAATAACAACAACACTTAATTCTTATTATATTTTAATAATAATGGTTTAATTTTTTTAGATACTTGGGAAGCTACTTATGAATCAGCACAAGTTTGTATTAGTGCTGCAATGGAATTATTAAAACTTACTTCTGAATCTAATTTCAATGAGACTAATAATAATAATAATAATAATAATAATTCTCCATTGGGTATATTTGCTCTATGGTAAACAATTATTTCAATTTTATACATATAAAAAATTAAATTATCAAATAAATAATTACCTAATAATTTTCTTTAATATATATATTGAAAGTCGACCACCAGGTCATCATGCCAATCGAAATGTTTGTGGTGGTTATTGTTTTCTTAATAATGCAGCAATAGTAACTAAACTTTTAATTGAAAATAAATATAATAAGAAAGATAATAATAATGATAATAATAATAATAATAAATTAGTCATTTTAGATATTGATTATCATCAGTAAGTGAATTCTTTCTTTAATTTTTTAGTTTTATTGTTTATTAATAAAAAAAAGAGAATCAATAATTGTATTATATAATAACTTAATAAGAAAATATATTGATATGATATATAGTGGTAATGGAACTCAAGATATTTTTTATTCCCAATCAAATCCATTATATGTATCATTTCATGGATCAAATGATTATCCCTATTTTACTGGGGATGAAACGGAAATTGGAGATGGGGATGGGAAAGGATATAATATTAATATTTCTTTAAATCAAGAAACTGTTGATGAAGAATATTTGGAAAAATTGAAAATTGTAATTCGGGATAAAATCATTCCTTATAATGCTGATTTCTTGGTGGTTTCTTTAGGTGGTAAGTTGGTATTAACCTTTTAATTTTTTTTTTTTATAATTTATGTAATTTATGTACGTATATTTTTATCTATTAGATAGATAGAGATATTTTTTAATATATAAAATAATAATAATGGAATTAATCAAATTTTTTTGAAATATTATTATTTCAAATATATATATATATATATATATAGTTGACACCTATAAAGATGATCCAATTGGAGGAATGCAAATAACAACTTTAGGATATAAAAGGATAGGGAATTTAATAAAATCAATTGGATTACCTACACTTTTTATTATGGAAGGGGGATATCATATGGAAACTCTAAAATTTAATGTTTATAATGTATTATCTGGATTTGATGAGGAATTAAGATAATTGTTAGATGTTAGTGTTAGTATTAAGTATTTATAAATTATATAAATTGTATATTTGATATTGGATTTTATTTAGATAATAATTATATTACAAATTAATTTATTTTTTTTTTAATTAACATTAAATATAACAAATACATTTCATTTAAATAAAATTAACATGTTTTATTTTTTTTTTTTAAGAAATTTTTAAATATACAAAAAAAAAAAATTGAAATAGAAATTAGAAAATTTTTTAGAAAATACTAATTACATAAGTGACTCGTAACTGATAGAGCCTATGTCTAATCAGTTTCTAAGTACTTGGGCGAAGATAGGCCGTTGTGGTAAATTAAATAATAATTTTTGTTTAGTTTTAGAAAGCTCCCTCTTACAATTTTTTTTTTTTTAGTCTTATTAGTTCTCATGGTTAAGAATTCTGGAGCGAAGTATTAATCACAAAAGGCACATGGTTCATTCTTTCTAGATTCTAATTCATAACATTTAACTCGATTAGCATGTCGTTTTTTGCATTTATATTTTAATGGTACTTCCAGTTCACATTTCGTCGTGCATGGTGCTGAACATGCTTTTTCACACTGTAATTAAAAAAAAAGAGAGAAAACATTTTGGTTATTAAAAAAAAAAAAAACTTTTAATTAATAATCATTATAAATTATTAATTTTTATTATCACAAACCTTATGATTACACTCCAATTTCTTAGAACATTTTTCCATGCACTTATAGGACGAAGTTTCATTACAAGTGATTTCTTTAGAATGTCCACATCCGGGATTGAATGGTACAGAAACCATACACTCTCCACATACTTCTCCACATTTATTTCTACACGGATGACCACATCCAAGAGTACTGGTACAGCTTTCCTATTAAATGATAAATTAATTAAACAAACAAACAAATAATTAATTAATGCTAAATAATAAATAATAAATTCAAATTACCTGACAACTGATACGAGTATGAAGATCAAAATGACATTCATTATTACAAATCTAATCCAAAAAAAAAAAAAAAAAAAAAAAAAAAATCAAATAAATTACAAAGAGAGATATATATAAATTATACAAAGATATATAAATAAATATAAAATATATTATATGACTTACATGTCCACAAAGTAAAAGTTCCCCACATTTATTTTTGCATCCACCAAAAGATGGAATTTCACCATCCCAACCAGCGGTTGTCAAAGCCAATCCGGCAACTCCTTTTTCAATATCTGTATGTTTGGGACAAAATAAATCGATTGTTTGACGAAGACAACTATTTTTCTGCATTCGATTTAAAATATTTTTCCATAAAACAGATTGCTTTGATAATTGTGATGCATTTCCAAATATGTATAATCCGTGTTTGGCACGTGATAATGCAACACAGACTAAAAGAAAATGTATGATTATTTTTTTTAATGTATATATCGAGATTATAATAAATAATAATAATAATAATAATAATAATAATAATAAATTATATAAAATGTATAAAATATATATATATATACCTCTGTTGGAAACGCTCAAAAATCCAATTCCATAACGTGGTTCTCGACTACGTACTAATGATAATATAATAATTTCATTTTCTTCTCCTTGAAATCCATCAACTGAACTTACTCGAATTGATTTAAGTTGTGGACATAATCTAGTTTCTTTTCTAAGCAAGTCTTCTATTTTCCTTCTTTGACCCGAATACATACTTAGAATGGTACTATTATATATGAACAAATAAATAAATAAATAAATAAAATAGAAATAAATAGAAATTATATATATATATATATGCATAAATGTATTTATAAAGATATTTACATCGTTTGAGGATTCGTGCCACATTTCACCAAAAATGATGCTAATTTTGAACACATCTTTACTTCGAATTCATTATATTTACTCATAGAACTTGGTATGGTTTGTTCTTCTTCCGTGTGATCAAAGAAAAAGAGGTCTTCTACAATTCCTTGTACTTTAGGATACTCTTTCACTTGGGGATGATCAGTTAAAACATCTCCGTAGATCGGGGTCAAAAGTTCTCGTATTTCGGTACGCATCCGACGTTGTTCGGTAAGTTTTGTTAATGGTAAAAATTTTGTTAATCTTTCAAAAAGCGAAACATCCAGATGCTAATGAAAATAAAATAAAAAATTTATTCCATTCAAAATTATTATTATTATTTAAAAAAAAAAGATCAATTCTGTTAATTCTTACGTTATTTATCGCGAGTTCATGAACTGAAACATTGGGACGAAGTTGTTGATGATCCCTATTATTTAAAATTAACAATGATGTTAAATATTAATTTAATATTAATCATAATGACGTTTGTGAAATATTTTTGATTTTTTCATACCCGATAAGGATAAGATGTTCAGTATAAGGTGTAAGTGCGGTGGCAATGTGAGCTTCTAGTGTTTCTGCCGCTTCTTCAATTATCATGATTTTTGGTTTCAAATTTATTAACAGTTCGTGATATTTGGCCTATTAAAAAAAAAAGGAAATATAAACCTAAATATATAATATATATAATATACGGCATATATATATATATATTGAAAGAAAAGAGAGAGATGTATATAAAATGCATATAAGATACTCACGGCTGCGGTAGTAGTCATCCCAACTACTCGAGCTTTGTTAAGAATGGCTAAATCTTCACGTATTTTTTCACGTTTCATCTCATCCGCTATTTTTTGATAATCTTTAAAATGTTCCTTTAATTCCTCACAGATAACATCTAATCGATCCTTCCTCCAACGATTATGTAAAACGGCTCTCGCGTGGGTTGGAATATCCCATAAATCTTTACATGCCGCATACTGATTTAAATCATCTTCATTTATGTAGACGTCACTATTGATATATTGATCCCCTCTTAATTCGGAATGATCTCCAATAACTAATTTTCCTCCTTCGATAGCTTGAAATTCTTCTGAAATCTCTTTAAGGACCTCTTCATCAACTTCATCTTCGTCTTCCTCATCTTTATTTTTTTGATCAATGTCAATGGCCTGTGAAACATTATGTTCGATTTCCGCGTGTACGGCTGAATGAGTTGATACCGATTGCGTTAACCAATCTTTAATATTCTTTTGATCATCATCTTTTGAATCATTATTAGAAGAACTACTAATAACCCAATCATCTTGTTTAAGGCTCTCGAGTTGAGCTTCGGATAAAATTCCATTCGAAATGATATAATCTAATGAAATGTAAGGATCTTGGATTTCTGTACATAATTTTTTCATTTTACTTGAGATGACATCACGTTTTTTATATAATCTTCCAACTTCTGGGTTATGTGGAGCAGAAAATGTATCAGAATGTTTCATCGATTGAAATTTGTTAAATAAAGTATAACTTCTCATTTTTTCAGATTTGGAACGTGAACCAAGTCGTACTACTTCGGGCTCAAAATCCAAGATTCCTATTTATTAAACATAATTTCCGGAAATTTATAAATTCCAAAAATCATGAAAAAAAAATTATTTAAAGTATTTAAAAGTTTAAAAAAAAAAAAAAAGTGTACCTGATAAAAATTGATCAAGTGCGTGATTGGTTTGACATGCAATAACGATAACACCCGGTGCATTTTTCAACAATATTTTTACGGCCGCCAAACCGATATAAGTTTTTCCTGTACCAGGTGGACCTTGAATTAATGCTAATTTTCTAGTTAACATTCTTTTTAATGCTTCATATTGCGTCACATGCAATTCAGCATTCATCTGATCAATATGTGGCCATTCATTCCAATCTTTTGTTATATCGATCTTAAATAAATAAAATATTTGTTTTTATTAAAATTTTTTTTTTTAGTAAAAGAGTAAAAGAAAGAAAGAAAGAAAGAGGAGAGAGGAAAGGAATTGGAGAAAAAAATTTATTACATACATATGAAGTGCCTAAATGTTTTTCCAAATCCGGAAAAGCCGGAACTTTATCAAAATCATATTTAGGATTACTCTGCATTCGCTTTTCTAAATATTTTGGAATTTCTATTTCACTTTTTCCCTCTATAATGTGTTCTTGGAATGGAAGAGTTTCTGGATCCATTTCTTGAAGAACATTTAAAACGTGTCTATATGCTAAAATTAACAATAACAATAATAATAATAATTATAATAATAATTAATAATATGAAGAAGAAATTCATAATATGAAAGAATAAATTCATAATATGAAATACCTTCGAAATATGAAGAAGTTGCCTCCACCTAATATTATATAAATTATAAAATTATACAAATTAATGAATATAAATAGATAATATAAATAGATAATATAAAAAGATAATATAAATGATAATAAATAAATTATTATAATTAATTAATTTGATTACCATAATGTAACCTCCCGGTAAAACGAATTCCACATCCTCTGGTCTAAATAATACATCAATTTGTAAATCCCATTTTTTTTCCAAAAGAGATTCATGCCTACTAATGACTGTAGCGAATTTAACGGTTTTAAATTTATCCTTAGTGAATAACACCAAAGTTCCTGGAATCAACCGTTTACTTGTATTCCTATAAAAATAATAATATCATCAATCAATCATCATTCATATTCACTTTTTTTTTTTATTCATCCTTTATTGAGAAAATTTAAATTACATTTTTTTTTAAAAAAAAAGGGAATACCATTTTATTCGTTCACCATGTTGAGTTCGAAAAGAGATTCGATGAACTACTCCAACATTTGCATAAGTAACTCGAACCAAATTGATCTGATGATAAAAGATGATTTGTTTTTATAATGATGTATTATTAATATTAATAATAATATTATTATTATTGTAATAAATGAATTATCATAATAGATTGATCTTACATTTTCGTAAATTCTTAAACTTGGTTTCCGAAAATCTTTCGGTTTCTCTAAATCTTTCAATTTCTTTAAATCTAATAATAATAATAATAAAACCAAATATTCTTATGAATATGATTATGATTAATGATTTTAATTATTATTGTAATTATTATTATTATTACTATTACCAACATCTTCCGAATTAATATATTCTTCAATTCCTTCTCGAAGTGGTCGAATGCAATCTTCTCGTAATAATCGATAATGAGTTTCGAGATATTCCTCAATCGAATTGTAAGGGGTATCAATTTTATTGATGGGAATACTACCCGGAGGTGGGGAGTGACTTACAATTTCTTTGTAAGTCGGGATTATTGGTATACTACGAAAACCGGTATTTTTTGGAGGTTTCACGATTTCAAGAAGTTTGGGTATTGCAAGTTTTATCTTATTATTATTCCTGTTATTCCTGTTACTATTATTGTTATTATTGCGATAATTATTATTATTGTTATAATTTCCTCCTCCTCCTCGACGTTGTTGTTGTGAATTATTATTATTATTATTATTATTTTGTCCACCCTCTTCACCTAAACCTTCAGAAGACCATTGACCAACTTTTGATCCTCTGGGTCTTGGTTTTCTTCCGTATTTTCTCATTTCCCAATAATAATAAAAAAAAAAAAAAGCGATAAAATGGAAAAATTTGAAAAGATGTGAGAAAAAAAAAATGGAATCGAAAATAAATAGAACAAAAAACTTAAAAATCAAGTTTTTTTTTTTAGTTTTTCCGAGATTTTTTTTATTTATAAAGATCCAGTTAAACATGTGATTAAAAGTAATAATTATTTATTATCGGTATATCAAATCAACAAAAGGGTTAGTTGATCAAATAGAAAAAAAACAAAGCCTCTTTTTACCATATTTATCCGCATAACAAATCTTCGTTTATTATCTCTCCACTACAACACTACAACACTACAACAACTACAGCGCTACAACACTACAACCTGTATTTAATGCTTTCTACTTAAAAACAGAAACAATAAGAATATATGATTAAACGTTTTAGTCCCCTCCACACTATAGATAAATAGAAAGATAGAGAGATAGAAAAGGAGAAGAGAAGAGATACATTATTATACCTATATACAACTAGCCAGTTTGTGGTGTTCTTTGTTACTTCCAAAGTTACTTACTTTTAACTTTTCGAAATTGACAATGGTAAGAAAAATAATTATTAATTTTATAATAATATATTCAATATATATATATATATATTTGGATACTATCAAACAACATTATTCAATATTTAACGATCAATATACATTATATTCTTCGATCAACATTAAAATGATGTAATATTAAAACGATCAATATTTTAAAATGATATAATATTAAAATGATACAAATATCAAAATGATACAATCAAAACGATCAATATTAACGTCGTAATATCATTCATTCATTCACTCATTTATAATAGACCAGTTCAATGGGTTCAAGAAATAATAGTTTCGTTGGTTTACCGAGAATGAGTAAAGCAGCAAAAAGAAAAAGAAGACGCCAAAGAAAAGTAGCACTTGAAAGGGCCGAAGCATCTCAACCGAGAATAACACCAACAGCAACAACACCACAAAATCCTTTATATTATCAAAATAATAATAATAATAATATGAATAATAATAGTATTATTAATAACAATAATAATAATGGTAGTAGTAGAATTACTCATCATCATCAACAACATTATCGACAACAACAACAACAACAAATCACTAATACATTAGGATTATGTTTTAATGGTAATAATCATAATAATCCTATGAACCATAATAATAATCCTATGAATCATATGAATCATGTGAATCATATGAATCCTATGAATCCTATGATCCCTATGAATCATATGAATCATAATAATGGTCAAAATGGTTTTAGTACAATTACTAATGATAATTTTATGGGAGCAATGCAACCCGTGCAACCAATGCAATCACGTTTTTTTGGTACTACTACTAACAATAATAATAATAATAATAATAACAACGAAGTTATTGATAATTATATTCAACCTTCGAGATCAGGTGAATTTATGGTAAATTCTCGAAGGATGGATGATTATTGGTCAACTCATAATAACAATAACAATATTAATAATAATAACAATAATAATAATAATAATAATGGATTAATTAATAATAATAATAATAATAATAATAATAATTCATTTCCACCTAGTAGAGCAACAACTACAACAGCAACAATAGGAGCGGGAGGAAATGTTGGTGAATTTTATAGACCAACCTCGACTACAATTAATACAACCATAACTACTACTGCTACTTCTTCTTCCACCGTTGCTGCTACTTCTGCTTCATCTTCCACTACTTCCACTTCTGCATCTATAACTGCTGCTGCTGCTGCTACATCATCATCGTCTTCTTCTTTACCTTCTTTACCTCCTCCTCCTTCTTCTTCGTTAATAGATGGTAGTAATAATATTTTTCCATCTAGAACTGGAGAACTTTTATTACGACCATCTAGATCGGGTGTATATTCTCTTAAAGGTAATAATAATTATTTTAATAGAAGACCTTATACGCCAGATTATAATAATAATAATAATAGTAATAATAATAATAATGTAAATATTCCGATTAATAATAATAATAATAATAATAATCATCATCATCATCGACGAGAAGATCTAAATAATGGTAGTATTATTGTTGGTGGTTGTGGTAGTAGCAATATTGGAAGTATGGGAAGTGTTGGTGGCTTCTTTGGTAGTGGAGGAATTGGAGGAATGAAAGTAATTGATTCTCATCAAATCTCAACAAATTTATCAAAATTACCAATGTTCGGAAATCCGAAATCAAAAATTAAAAAGAATAAAAAATCGAAAAGACGACGTAATAGACGTGGTAAAAATAATAGTAATAATAATATTAATAATAATATTAATAATAATATTAATAATAATATTAATAATATTAATAATATTAATAATAATAATAATAATCCAAATATTCTTCCAATAATAAACAACAACCCCAACCCCAACAACAATATCAACAACATCGACAATAACATCAACAACAACATCAATTACAACTATAATGATAATAATACTTTACCACTTCGAGAAGTTTATACTGTTTCCAAAGGAATAGGAGGAGGAGGAGAACGTAATAATAAAAATAAAAATAATCATAATAATAAAAATAATAATAAAAATAACAACAACTCCGATAACAACAATAATAATAACAACAACAACAACAACAATAATAATAATAATAATAACAATAAGAAAAATAATAAAAAGGAAAATAAGAAAGAGAATAGGAAAGAGAAGGAGACTAATAAGCAACCTTCAATCAGATATATACGTACAGCATCAATACCTTCAATTAAGGTCGAAAAGTCATTACCTCGATTAATTATTCTTGATCTTAATGGAACTTTAATTCATCGAACCTGTTCAGATATTGGTAAAGCGATATTACGTCCATACATTAAGAATTTTATGGATTATTTATTTTCCGGAGGGTATTCTGTAATGGTTTGGTCATCGGCTCAACCTTTTAACGTTAAGAAAATGGTTAAAGCGACATTTGGTTCAAATGAAGTTAAATTAATTGATGTATGGACGAGAGATAAGTTTTCATTAACTAATCGTGAATATCATCAAAAATGTCTTACGATTAAAGATTTGGAAAAAGTTTGGAAAGAATTAAATTCCGATCCATTTCTTAAACCATTATTTAAATCTAATACTACCCCTATTACCTCTACTACTACTACTTCTTCGTCATCATCATCAACAACAACTTCTTCAATAATTTGGGATCAAACAAATACTATATTAATTGATGATTCACCTTTGAAAGCTCAATTACAACCTTATAATTCTATTCATTTAGCTGAATTTGAAGGTACTCTTGCTTTTTCGGGAACCGATAGTGAATTAAGAGATGTAATTCCTTATCTTGAAATATTGAAACATCAAAATAATGTTAGTGCTTATATTAAAGAATCTCCTTACCGAAGTAGTGATTATAATAGTGATAATGAAAGTTTGATTTCTCCAACAAAAACAACAACAACAACAACACAACCATCTCCACTAATGCTACAACCACCGCCACAATCACAATTACCAAAAGAATTAAAATTAACAGATGAAAATAATAATAATAATAATAATAATCAAGGTTCTTCTTCATTCTCTCAACATTTATTTGTTGATCGAGATAAAGATAATTTTCCTATTATTTCTACTATTCCTATTTCTTCATCCTCTTCTTTTGGTAATAAAAAAGGAGGTTTTGGTTATTATCATGATGGTAATGATATTGATATTGATGATAACGTTGATGATGATTATGATGATGAAATAATGGAAGATTTATCTTCTTCTCCTACTACTCCTATTAATAGTAATAATAATAATGCTACTACTTCTCCTACTACTCCTATTAATAATACTTCTACTACTACTACTACTACTACTACGGTCCCTATTAATACTTTTAATAATATTAATAATAATAATAACAACAATTATAATAATAATAATACTTATACCACTTCTATTATTAAAACTTCAACAAATCAAGAATCAAGTCATTTCGATAATACTTTTAGGAATGGCTTGACATCATCAATATCATCATCATCATCATCATCATCAAAAGGATTATCATCAGTAACGAGCACATCTAATTCGTTTGATAATAATAATAATAATAATGATGATAATACTAAAATGGTTGATTATCACAATGATAATGATTATCATTATAGTAATCATCATTATACTACTACTGCTACTACTGCTATAATTAACGAAGGTTTGGTAAATAACAATAATAATAATAATAATAATAATAATAATTATAATAATTATAATGCGAAACCTGATAATAATAAAGGTGATAATAATCATAATAACAATAATAACAATAATAATAAATCTTCAGAGAATTGCAAAGTATCTTAAAAAAATTATCAAGGTTTGTTAATGAAATTTAATTTTTTTTTTAATTTATTTTAATTTTATTTTTATTTTTATGTTTATTAAAAAAACAGTTTCCTTCCCTCTCTCTTTTTAACTCTTTTCTCTCTCTCTTTATTTATAATTTTAGAAGAAAAATATCGATTTTTTTTTTTTACGTTATGAATGATAATTGGTAAAATGATCGTGATAAGAAAAAAAATGCATATACGAATGAATTGCACGAAAAAAATTTCTTCAATTCTATTCTATTATATAATATTGGACATTAATGTATATTAATTTTTTTTTATTAAATTAATATTATTAATGAATATTAATGTTATTAATTAATAACATTAATATATATATATATATATAAAAATATCTTCTTTTTTTTTTCCTAAAACATTGTATTCACATATACAAAGATATATATTATTTGAATTCAGTTAAATAAATTTACTTTTACTTTTTTTTTTTTTTTTTTTTTTTTTTTTTTTTAGAAATTATTAATTTATTTGATTTGATTTGATTTGTTTATTTATTTAATAAAATGAGAATAATTTTTTTTTTTTTATGGTGAATTTAAATTATGATCTATATTTTCGAGTTGTGATGTTATTACTTACACTTAAACCTTAATAATCGCACAATGATTCATTATGATAATCACAATAGTCACGATAATGTAACCACAATGATGTCTAAAAAAAACTACCTGTCAAAAGTAATATCACAATAATCACAATACCGTCACTATAATCATCACAATATTCACAATATTGTCACAATTTATTATATATAATAAATTGATAGTAATTGACAAATTTAATAATTTTGTTTCTATTGTTTACGAGCTCTTTTAACATCCCGAGGTGAAGCTGACAAAGTAATTCGATCTCGTTTCTGTAATTAAAATATTTTATATAGAATATATTTTATAATCAATTCGTCATCCAACAAAATTTAATAGATTTAATAACAATAATAATAATAATAATAATAAACTTACCGGACTACCAGCTTCACTACCATTATTTGTTCTATCACTATCAACTTTTCTTGGAGTACTTGCTCCACCTCCACCTCCACTTCCACTACCACTTCCACCACCACTCCCACCACCACTTCCACCACCACTTCCACCAACACTAACTCCACTTCCACCACCACCACTTCCTCCATTTCCACCAACAATTGATTTCGATGATCCATTTAATTCAATACCCGAGCTTATCTTTTTATATAAATTTACTTTGATTTTTAATTCATGTTCATGTTTATCTACTCCTTTCTTTATTTCTAATAATGTTTGTATGGCCTTTTGTAATTCTGTCCAACGAGCACAAACTATTTCTGTTGGAATCGTTGGACGTGGACCTATAATCATAATAATAATAATATTATTATTATTATTATTAATGTTAATAATATTGTTAATAATACTGTTAATAATATCATTATTATCGTTAACTTACCTAATCCAAATTCTTGTAATGTCTTTGTTACTTTAACAGTCATAGCTTGTTTAGGTAAAGGTATCTTTGAACTTCTAACAACTACACCTGGAGGGAATTTCTCTCGTCGAACTGTGGTTGGTGTATTATGAACTTCAATAGGCGAATGAGCTGTCAGTAATTATTAGTATTATTAATAATATTTTGTAATAATAATAATAATAATAATTATTATTATAATTATAATTATAATTATATTATAATATTATTTTAGAATATAATAATATTTATAATAAAATTAAGTAGAAAAAAAATAAAAAAAAATAAAATTAAAATAAATAAATAGATAAATAAATAAATAAGATAAATAAAAATAAATAAATAAATAAAATATATAATATATAAAAAAATATATAAAAATAAAAAAATATCTATATATAAATATATATATATATACATATAATGGATAAATAATAGGTTACCTTCAGCAGCAGCCGCCCCGATAGATGATGATGATGTACGTCGATTTTTCTTGGTAGATAATGAATCCATGGGTGCATGAAAAATTGAATTGGTAATTTCCATTGTTGGAGTTGTTGGATTACTAAGAATTGATTTCTTTCGCTTGGGCTAAAAATAAAATAATAATATTAAATTATTATTAAATATTATAAATGTCATTATTATTATTATCTAAATATTGGAATTAATAGTTATTAATGTTGATTGATTTAATTACCTGAGCAATTTCTTGAAAACTAAATAATTTAATAAGATTTTCTCGTTCTTTAGCAAATCTTTTCTCATTCTGTTCTATACGTTCATATTCCTCTAATAATTCTTCTTCTTCCTATTATAATTTCAATAATTATAATTAATACAATAAATAAAATAAATAAATTAATAAAGTAATAATAAAAATAATAATAATAAAATAATAAAAAATAAAAATAATAAAAATAGATCAATATGAGTATTTGCCTGTATTTCTTCGGACGATCGACCGTATAATAATCGAAGATGTTTCTTTCGTCTTTCTTCTTTAGCTACATTTATTTAATTAAAATATTAAATTAATGAAAATTGAATGAAAAATTAAAAAAAAAAAATAAATAAATCGCGAAATTATTGAATGAAATTTACATTTATCATAACTATTCAATGCAATAAGGGTTCCTTTGTCAGCTGTACCGGGAGCCATTGGTCGCACTTGTAAAATCTTTTTACACACCGAATAATAACGATCCTTCAAATCCTAATAATAAAAAAAATATAATTCATTTAAATTTTAAATAGTAATAATAATAATAATATAATTTAATTTCATCAAATTTCTTACTCACTTCCATAGTTCGTTCCTTATTTGGATACTCATAACGATCCAGAATAACCATAAATCTTAAATCATATTTTTTACATAAATTAAAAAGATAATCCGTCTCTTCTCTAGTCCAATCTTTATCTAAATCAAGTATTTTTAAATAAATGAAAATTAATTTTAAAATTTTAATTGAAAAAAAACCTCCCTATTCTTTCATTTTATTATTATAATTATTATTACCTGCCAAGTATTTCTGATATTCTTCATCAGTGTATTCCAATACATCAACACTTTTATTATATTCTGTCATTCGATAATCTATAAATATATATATATATATATATATATATATATATATATAATATTGTTTTTTCTTTATTAAATTAATAAATTATATATACATATATACATAAATGAATAAATTATTTTTACCTAAATTAGCTTCATCAGAAGAAACTTTTGTCCAATGATTCAATTGTAATCCATCACTTCTTAAATTATTAACGAAAGGTTTATAAATCCTAAAATTTTATTTAATTATTTTAATTATAAATTATTATTTAATTATTTAATCATTTAAATAATTTTTTCTTGTAATCCACCGAAGACAGACTCGTAAGAATCCTCTTTCTCTTAATCTTATAATTTTTCCGAACCCAATTTTCAATTCTATGTATTATTATTATTATTATTATTATTATTATTATTACCATTGAGTAGCTTTTTTACGTAAATTCGGTTTTGCCTTATAAGCAGGTTTAACGAAAGCTATCGGTGGTGGACCACCAATTAATTGAAAAAGTTCTCGCGGTATACCGTCTAATTAATTAATTAATAAAGATCAAAAAATTTGAAAATCTTAAATATGATATATATGAAAAGATTAGAATAAAAATATTATTTATTTTATTCTTTCCCTTGATTAAATATTTTTTCAATAAGTTAAATACGATTAAGTAATAACATTTACATTTTGATCTCGAGATCTTTAACAATTGATTTTTTAACGGATCACGAAACAAAAAATATGTACTAACCGGGCTTTTTTTCTTTTTCAGGTTTGTTAGCCTTCTTAGAAGAGCTAGAGCCACCTTCACTCGAAGGTTTTAATGGACTTAGTTCAAGTATGTCTCGTACATCATTACCCATTATCAAATATTTTTACTAAATTTTTATTATAAAAAAACAACAATTCTGAATTTATGGTCACCTGATTTTGTGCTAATTTTGTCTTACATCAAAAAAAACTACTACCTAATTTACTAAATTACAATTAACCTATTTTTTTTTAAAAAAAAAAACGAAAAATGACCGCTAAATTTTTTGACCGTTTATCAAATGACCTTACTCAACTTCTCGAAAACCCTGTTGATTATAATGTTACAATTGAAATTGGTGAAATTCCTAATAATCAAATTTTTAAACTTCATTCTTATATTTTACAATCCCGTAGTCCTTATTTTAAAAATAAATTCAATG